GGGTTAGGGTTCGGGTTAGGGTTAGGGAGAAGGGGAAGGCGAATCCCTAGACTCGTTAGTGGAGTAGGCGAGGAACGGTCCGGCATATAATATAGTACCAGGGTACGTTCCGGCAGTACCCTGGGGGACATAGACCGTATGAGCCATACTGTCATTAGGAACGTGATGAATATTCTGTGGTGACTGGTGAAAATCATTGGAGGGATTTGGCGAGCATAGCCGAGAGAGATTCGCAAATGTTTACACCCGGCTCGTGGTTCACGTTTAGGAACGTGACAGAGAAGCGGGTTGTTTTTGGTGACAAAGCAATTATTGCTGATTATTTATAAGTGTCTACGTTGTTAAGGTTACGTGTCGAAAGTTACGTGAGTCATACATACAGAGTTGCTTGAATCTACATCATGGATTTCAGTTTTTGTAATGTCTGCTCTATAATAATACTCTTATAATCTTGGTAATATGTTATTGGTAGTGATGCCTTGTAGTTTGCATATGTTCATTGTAACTGTGCATAACTGTGAATTATAATTGTCATTGTAATTGTGCTCCATAGAGTACACATACTTTTTGAACCAGTTTCTCATAGCGTACATGTTTTTATTACACTGGTGCGTAACACTATACACGCGATCATTGCCATTTTGCCTGATTGTTTACGTGTATGCCTAGCGTGCCACGCAGTGTGGTTGTTCATTGAACTGCTGTTCCACAGGCCATTTGGTGCTATGATCCAGCCAATTATTGACTCTCTGTCGCGACCACCACCCTCGGCTGCTGCTGCGCAGCAACCTGTGACGGCACCACCAGCAGTAGATCCTGCCCAGGAAACCACACCAACAGGTGAGGGCAGTTAGTCAACGCAGTTTCACGTATTGTTATCGGTAACATCATTCCTGTTCAGAGTCTAACGCGTTGAACAGTGGAAGTTGGTAAAGTTGGTCAATTTCACAGTTTAACATGTTGTAGTTGGTAAAGTCATTCCTGTTCAGAGTCTAATGCATTGTAGTTGGTAAATTAAGCCTGTTTCAGAGTAATGTGTTGTAGTCAGTGATGCCAGTCCTGTTAGGAGTTTAACGTGTTGCAGTCGCTGATGTCAGATCGGTTTAACTGCATTACAGATGGTGAAGTCGGTTCTCTCTCATTGAACTTCAATTTATTAGCACGGTTTTGTGGTTGAAATCAGAGAAGGATTGTTTTCAAAACTTCGAAATTTTCTTATTGACTCTAATATTTCATGATTGTGGTTATTTCTTTTTCGTAGGGGATCATTGTGTGGTTCTGTCCACTGCTATATTTTGGTAACTGATCAATTCTTAAACTTTTTTTCTCGCATCTAGCGCCAATGGCAGAAGCAGTCCATGAACAATCACCTGACCAGGAAGTGAGTGAGATCTCTGCTGCTGTTGCCGCAGCGACGACGAATGAGCCAGAGGCTGAACAGATAGGCAGCCAAGAAGAATTTTAGTATGTGACCCTGGTATTAATTGCAACGAAACCGACCGACATAGGATTAGCAATTATCGTGTTGTTTTGGTAAACGGCGCCAGGCGTAAATTTGTTCTTACTGTTATTTTTGTGGTGATGTACTCTGGCTTCGCTAACTGTTAGAATTTTGGCGTGGTTACCTTTATTGCACATAGACACGAGTTTAGCATCGTTTATGCGACATCACTGAACTGTATGATTTCAGTGAGCCAGAGAGCAGGGGTGCCGCGGAGGCAGCAGGCGCGGCAGCGACATCGCCGCCACAAGCTCCCGCCCCAGCGCCAGCCCCAGGTTAGTCAATTCTCCTGCGAAATGCGCGAGTAATGCTTGCATTTTCGCTTAACAAAGTCCTAGTCCTGTTGCGCTACAGTCATTTCCTACACATCAGTGCTCATCGACGGTCGGTGACTAGGTAGTAGGTCGGATCTCTGCGACAAATGCTCCTTTCGTAAATCCAACGCATAGCGTAATTTTGCTGGGGGGGAAAATGCGCTACAGCCGCTGACGTGTGTGAATTCGCTCGCTGTTACAGCTGCTGCTGCGGCGGCCGCACCGAAAGAGAAGCGGACAGCGCCGCCCCCTGGCGGTAGAGCGTCTCCCATCGGACCCCTCCCCGTCGATGCTCAATACGAACCACTGTATGGCGAGGCAGAGTACTACACCGACGTTAATGTACGTACGACAGGACACGTCGTGAAAGTCGCACGCCCACACGAAGCTTTAGTGTGGTTAGCTGTCATAACTAGTCATGCTAGCCCCGCGTACATTGGGAACTGATGAAGCAGAGGTGTTTGAGGCAGACTAGTAGCAAACGTAAATAAGAAGCTGACATGAACCTATTGCTTTGATATCCACGTAGCATATAGAATAGTATCAAACGTACATGTAGCAGGCAGATAGATATCTGTAGCAGACAGCCCAGAATCGGTCATAAACATTTGGCAGATATATATCAGTACCAGGAATTCGAGGAGTAGACATATGCCTGTAACAGATAAACCAGTATCAACCCTTGGACCAGGAAGTCTAGTAGTATATAGACAAATCTCGGACGTATGAGTGATTTATAGGGACCGGTGGCACACATAGGACAGTGTCAGATATATGTGTGGCATATAGAGACTGGTAACAACAATAGGAGAGCGTCAGGCGTGTGTGGCATATAGGCACCAGTGGAAAGTTGGCAACTATATGAGAGTAGCAGACATAAGAGTAGTATATAGACGCTCGTAGCAGCAGCAACAGTAGAAGATTAACACATAGACGCCCATAGCAGCAGCAGCAGTAGAAGAGTAGCACATAGACACCCGTAGCAGCAGCAACAGTAGAAGAGTAACACATAGACGCTCGTAGCAGCAGCAACAGTAGAAGAATAACACATAGATGCCCGTAGCAGCAGCAACAGTAGAAGATTAACACATAGACACTCGTAGCAGCAGCAACAGTAGAAGAGTAACACATAGACACCCGTAGCAGCAGCAACAGTAGAAGAGTAACACATAGACACCCGTAGCAGCAGCAGCAACAGTAGAAGAGTAGCACATAGACGCCCGTAGCAGCAGCAA